ATTTGTTTGCCTTTTTTGTCCTGTTCATTTGTCATTATGTGCGGCGCGGCGGCTGACGGTAACTAACATTGTCATTGTTTGAGCCTACTGGCGTGAACGACTTAAATTCTCCATTATTTTAAAGAATAACCCACCTTAAATATTTTAGGTAAGGCAAATTTTTATTAAAAAGTTTTGATGGACAGTCTCGATAACTTTCATGGCGCGATAGGTATGTGATAGGAATCAGATTTTTTTGTACTTCCGACTTATTTCTCAACTTGAAACTTACTTTTAAATCCATATACTTTTTCAGTTTAGAAAGTTGCAATGTTTGTGAAATGATTATTCAATATTTGTTTTTAAAAATATTACGAATCTCCTCTGAATTGTGAAGAAAAATCTGCCGCAGAGACCCCCAGATTTGCTCTAAAATCCACCAGAGAGCTTCTAAAGTTCAAAAAATTTCGGGGCCCTTAGGCGGGCCCCGAACCCCACGCCGTGGCTTCGCGAGTCGGTGTGTCTCAACAAAACTTCCTGGACAGGTTTGCAAAATTTCACGCCCCCCCCCCCTTTTGGAAAATCCTGGATCCGTCCCTGTGAAACCAAATATGATTCATGGAGGCATGCACTACTGAAAGGATAATCAGTTTTGACAGATGATGAATACGCGAGTTCATTGAACTACATACACAGGGTGACCGTAATAGTAATAGCAATATTCTGCTAGATGCACTTCAAAATATCTGCTGATTAACACTTATACTCGCATGCAGATGTTATAAAATCCCCCCCCCCCAAAAAAAAATTAAAAAAATTAATTAAAAAACCCAAAACAATTGCACGTGTCCAGCCTGGCTCGCAATGGTCGAAAATACTTTACTGTGTACTGCTTCACGTCGGGGAACCTCAAATTGAAGCTTTTTTTCAAAACAAATGCTATATTTTTCAAATCTGCCATATTTTTCTGTCAGATCAATATTTTTAAAGAATTCTGCTTCTGTCAAACTCGTTTTTCCCCCGGAAATATTCTGTCAAATTTAGCCGAAATTCGGCTGAAACGGTCACCCAGTACATACATCTATACTACAATCACGAAAATGATTCGGGGGCGCTGCCATTTTCCCGACCGGTCTCCGACCGGTCTCCCGTCCCCATCGCGCCTGTTGGCTGCGGGGGATGCGGAACGGGGCCCGGCTATTTTCACCCCATATTTCCCAGAATTCCTTTCCCCATTAAGCCGGCCGCCATCTTGCGTACGGGCCGGTGTCACGTGAAAATTCGACTCCTATGAAAATCGGACCCCTATTTCCCTATTATTGGTTGATCCCTCGCACGTACGTGACAGGTCACTCTCCCAAAATGATCCTAAAAATAGCGCAGTATCGTACTCACGCGTGCGCAGGACTACCAATGAGTCCACATTTCATGGAGTCGGATATTCACGCTACACCTGTCGTGCCACGTATACGTATACGTTCGTATAGAGGAGCATGCGCTGCAGCGCATGCAACGGTATTCCATGCAACATGCAAAGCTGAAGGAATGCTTGCCCCACATTTTCTCAGCACTACTAGCTTCGTTTGATGGTCGTTTGATGCATTGATTATGCTACAATTTTCTCTTTCAATGGTAAGTCCGGTTTGTGCTATGACACATTATAGATTATAGTTAGTAGTAATTCTTTCGAACACCTCTGGCAAAGGATTAATATAAGTATTCTTTCGAACACCACTGCTGGCAATGACAATTGTTGTTTGTGAAAAGTGTGACCCAATCGCGTGGGCCTCGGACATGTCGGACATGGCGATCGTGTAGTATTTAGTAGAAGGGCCCGGTTCCTATAGGGAACAAAATCCACTTTAAAAAAGCCCGACCAAAATAGTTGGAGACATTCTCAATAAACAGGTATGTCATAGATAGAGGGCCGGGTTTTGATTTTTTTTTTAGAGAAATTTGGGGGGGGGGGGGAAATTACGATGACAGCACAGCGAAAACACGCAACCCGAAAATAAAGATGGCGATTTCTGCGCGATGTGCTGTGAGCACGAATGTCGGACACTTCGCCCCATTTCCACGTCGCCCCATGTCACTTCGCCCCTAACCACTTCGCCCCATCCCCACTTCGCCCCATCCCCACATCGCCCCATCCCCACTTCGCCCCATCCCCACTTCGCCCCATCCCCACTTCGCCCCATCCCCACTTCGCCCCATCCCCACTTCGCCCCAGCCGTTGCATGTAAAAAAAAAAATCTCATCTATTTTTTTGGCTTAAAAAAAAACTATTTCAATAGATTCACTAATTGCTAACCAACGGAAAGAATTAGCCCATCACCAATTGAACAATTCATAACCAACCTCTCAAGCTAGGCTCTCCCCTACCGAGAAAAAAGCTTGAAGTAAAAGATCCAACTTTGTTCCCAACCCGGCTATACCAACCCGTCTCCCACTTATCTGAGAACGACAATACCTTTGACATCCTAATTTCACTCTTGGAGGAACCAATCTCATCAATGAAGTTGTAAGTCTCACATATCAGACAAATTTTGACGGAACATTTTCCTCAAGGCAGTGAGTTCCTTTGAACTCACTGACCCATACCTACGGGATTCTTTTGAATCCAGCGGCTGATGATTTTATTTAAGCCATCATTTCTCTCATCTGTGTCTCGAGCACCTCATCAGAGAGTTTGTATTTTTCCTGAGTTTCTAGAATTGGGAGCATTTATTATCTGGGGTCTTTGGCAGTTTATTTGGTCTGCACCCCTAGCCTTCCCTTTTTTATACTACATGGGGCGAAGTGGGGATGGGGCGAAGTGGGGATGGGGCGAAGCGGGGATGGGGCGAAGTGGGGATGGGGCGAAGCGGAGATGGGGCGATGTGGGGATGGGGCGAAGTGGGGATGGGGCGAAGTGGTTAGGGGCGAAGTGACATGGGGCGACGTGGAAATGGGGCGAAGCGTCCGACACCCGTGAGCACGCACGGCGCGCAGAATCGTAAGGCACAAACCGCGCAGGAACAATTTATTTGTAGCTATTGTTAGCCGATGTATTTTTTTACAAGTTTTCTTTGTTACTCCTTTACACAGGACTCCCGATGACACCCACATCACATGACCAGCTCCAACCATGCTCCAAGCATGCTCCAGTGCATGCTTCAACCAGTTCCCAAAGCAAGAATCTCGACTCAAGACGAAGACGTGACGTGCTTTTTCTCTTTACCCATTCAAAACACATTTTTCTTCTAGCCATAATTTTATTATTTAGAATTCATGAAAATGAAATAGTGCAAAAATAATCACTCTTTTCTGCTGTTTTATGTCCATCCTTTTTTAAAGTTATATCCTTGGCTTAGTTGTATCCAAGAATAATTATGGAATGATTACCCGTCTCGCTTGAAAGTCTTTCATGGAATGTTTTTGCCTATGCTAAACAAGCCTGGACCGACGTCCCTTACGAAAATCGCTCCGAAAATTTGCTACAATTATATCCCCTGAGTTTTGTCAAAGTACTACCCTGTATTGAATGCAAATACATTATTACTAAAAAATTTGTGTGTGCATTGTACCTGATTTCATTTTCACAGTTTTGTAATAAATACATTTAACATGTGGTGCTTGACATAATTATGAAGTGCTCCAATATGTCCTTTCTTATAGTTTTACTCTCTTCTGCAAATAAACGTGTTACAATACTTTGCTCTACAACCCCATCACCATAATAAAAACACGAACTGTTATAATGACATTAACTACTACTTAATACATAAAAAACACCCCCTTCACCATAACGAATATAAATTGTTGCCCACTTCCCCGGAAATATAAGTGACCATTCACAGGTGTAACATAAGTAGGCATGGGCGTCGCAAGGGGGGGGGGGGGGCAAGGGGGGCACTTGCCCCCCCCCCCCCCGAAAGCAAAAAAAAAAAGAAAAAAGAAGGGGAAAAAATGAGTTCAATTTTAAATTTAATGAGTTGGGGGGCTAAATGTCCCTGCCCTTCTCTAAAACTGATAAATGGAGAATGTGTTGAGAAAAACAGGCATTTTTTTGGCAAAAATATGTTTTGCCCCCTCTAGAAAACAAATCCTGGCGACGCCCATGTAAATAGGCCACACAATATCCAACCCCCATCCCCACTGGCTTCCCCCTCCTCTCCTCTGTAGTGAGAACTATGAATACGACGTTGTAAAGGTCAAGATCAAACCGCGTTTCATCTAAACTACCTAATTGTACAGTTGGTGTATACGTCCTTTATGGTTTGGCACCTTGAAAAATCAATGTTCAATTTGACTGGACAATATTCCAGCACAACATTAGTTATGAGCTTTATATACATGTAATGAGACATTGCATGAGACAATCGGTCGGCAATAAATACTTAATTTCATTCAACTGTTGACAGCAAGACCTTCCTAATCGGTGCGCAATTTAAAACAACATTTAAACGTTATGAATCCCAGCACAAACATAAACCTCCACAATATCAGCGATTTCAATATCACCATCTCCCCTCTATAACAAAAACCATTTCTCCCCGTCCCTGGAAATATTTCTCCCCATCCCCGGAAATATTTGTGACATGGTTGACGGGTTGTACGGAAATTGGTCGTTCCGACTAGCACCTTTCACCCTAACTAGCCCCTCCCCTATATTGACAATATGTCCTGGACCCTCGCACAATCTCCACAGGAAATGTTATGTGCGCGCACGTTGCTAAACGCAAATACAACTTAGGTGAGACTGATGGCGAGCCCAAATAGGCTCGCGTGCAGCAGAGCGTCTGATTCTTTATTTGACTTAACAGTTGTTTGGAGTTATTGGAGTTATTATCGAGATTTCACTGTATACAGTAATTATTACGAAACAGTCAACTCCACCCATCTAGCGGGTGCCGCGCGAAGCGCGGCATCCCGCTAGTGTAATATTAACGAACAGAGGTTACCCGTCGTTCCCAAAGAGCACGCAGCCCGCCTGGCTCAAGTAAATGTACATGACTCGCCTGAGAAAGAGGTTGATTTCGTCAAAGACCGGAAAGAGTGACGTCACACACCCGGCTGCTGTGAAGAAAGACATTGTGTGGACCAGATGCTAAAGAATCCCTCACCGAAAAAGGTAAAATTTTCACGCTTTTTGGCAATTGGGAGGTTCGAACCCTACAGGAGGTTGGGGAGCTCTACGCCTGGATCAATTTGGTGGTGATTACTGTGAAGGCCGGGCGTTAAAATGAACGGCTTAACTGTTGGTGAATTGTGCTGCTTATTTTGTTGTCCGCCATGTCCGTCACGGATTGCGGCCAAGCTGGCGTTTCTGCCACCGGAACCAACCTACACCATCGTGACGGATGAAACGGGTGCCAAAGGCACACTAAATCTCACCGAAAGGGCAGAATGGCAGTATTCCGACCGTGAACTTGAGTCCATCGAGGTGTTTTACACCCGCAACAAGCGGGGAAACAGAACAGCATGCATGTTTGTGCGCTGTGCCTCCAACCCGAAATACACCGTACTTTTTAGTCATGGTAATGCTGTAGATATCGGACAGATGAGCAGCTTTTACATAGGACTGGGTTCTAGAATCAACTGCAATATATTTAGCTACGATTACTCGGGCTACGGGGCCAGCGGGGGTAAGCCGCTGGAGAGAAACCTGTATTCGGACATTGACGCTGCCTGGAACGCTCTGCGTTCCCGCTACGGAATCAGCCCAGAGAGTATAATCCTGTACGGACAGAGTATCGGTACGGTGCCTACGATAGACCTAGCTGCACGGTATGAGTGTGCTGCAGTCATTCTACATTCTCCTCTCATGTCGGGGATGCGGGTGGCATTACCAGATACCAAGAAGACATGGTGGTTTGATGCATTTCCAAGGTGAGTATGATTAAGCTTCATGTATTTAACATGTTGTGCACGATCGGTGGATCTGCACTTGATCGTGCAGAAATACACTTGCTCGATCAGTCAATCTTCCAGAAAATGTTGCAGGCTTCACTCACCTTTTTCAAAACAACCATCCAGAGTCCAGAATTGGAAAGAAATGGTGATCGACTGATGGCATTGCAGTCGGCCAAAAGCGTGGCATGATCGACTGACTGTGCAGATCCACCAATAGGCACAACATGTATACGTAGACCTTGAACTTGGTGAGTTGAATAAACCCTCCAGGCTCCAGGCCTCCAGTGCTTAAAAAAAAATGGCAAATGAGATTTTGTGAAAAGAATGTTTACACCATATAATTGTTTTTGTTTTGCTGAATCTTTATTTATTTAAATGTACAACTGTACATCACTTTTATATAAATTGAGTCTGTGAGGTCTCTTCATACATGTATGTGTGTTTATAATTAATTTTATTTTGTGTGTACTGCTAGTGCTATAGTACAAGTACACACTTTTTCTATCCGACAGTAAAAAACATACATGTACATGGTTGTGTTCAAACAGCAGTGAATATCTAAAATATTCTCAGTGTGGGGAATTGAGGGTCCCATTAAAATCAAGCATGGAGCTGGTTTTAAAGCATCAATCAGCCAGTTCGGTATTTCAACTGTGCATGCGGTACAAACAAATGGGTACAAACAAATGTAATGGGTCATTCAGGATAATCATGGGAAAAAACGGATAGCTCCATGGGATGGTCGAAGGCTCATCGAAGGCCCATTGAAGCTCAAGGAGGTGCTCGGTACATCCAAATAACATTGCTGCAGCGATTTTATCCGAATGACCTTTGCCATTATTACAAGAAACTCCGTGAACGCATCAAATCAACACTAGTACAAACGCAGTTTGTCGGCAGAAACATTCTGTCTGCAAGTCGTTTCAACACACATGTGAAAGCTTTCCCTTAGCCTTTACATCAACTTAAATCTCCACTTGTAGCAGTTTTGGACAGTGAAGTATTCAGTTTACAGCTCTACATGTACCGTAAGTGCAATGCTGTACTCACATGATTGAATTACATGTATTATATACTGCAGCAACAGCAATGCAAATGAGTCACTCTTTATCAGTCTATCAGTCTGGGGTCATGAGTCACCAACAGTGCACACAGTCAGTAGGCCTATGCAGCTCAGTGTTTTGTGGTAAAACTACATGTAGTACATACCGATACATTTAGCTGAAGGTTCAAACACTGTTACATACATGCTAAATGCTATAGTAGTGTACAATGTACACATGTACATGTGACAATAATTTATTTTTCAGCATGTTAAGTGTTTGAAAATTAAAGCAATACAAAATATAAGTGGCACTGTACAGTTTTCCTGTATGAAACAACTACATGTAGTACATGCATTGGCATTCTATACTGATTAAATATGCACTCCTCTTGGGTAAATAATACATGTACGGTACATAATACATGTACATGTATATTTTTAAATTAAATTGGATGACCCAAGGATAAATATTAACACCATACATGAGCAGAATCAATTTCATGGCTATAACCAGCTGTATAAATGTGTTTATCTGGGGCCCTTGTAATGTACAAACAACAGACTTGACAGGATTTTCAATGATTTTAGTTTCGCAACAAAATCTTATAGGGCCTACATGTAGCCTATGTGATGAACATACGTACAATGTATGCGCAGAGCACTGTGTACACAAACAAAACTATACATGTATGTACATACATACATGTAGTATACAATTGTACATGTTCACGTAGATTCTATTTATATGAGATGTGGTATACAAATGTACACGTAGATTCTATTTATATGAGACAACTGATCACTGACTACATGTACAAGCATGCAAACTTAAGTATGATCATGAAAACTACCAGGACAAAATACATGTGTAGGTACCTGCATGCTTTCAACACTTCCTGTTCATTTTATACAGGGTGAGTCAAAAGAAGCGGAACCCAAACCCCAAAATTATATTTCATATTTAAATAAATATGTAGCACCAAAAAACATAATGACTGGAAAGACAATTTCGTAAGCTACTTTTAGATGAAAAAAATACTGAAATTGGTCCATCCGTTCAAAGAATATCACCATTTAAATACAATGTCTTTAAAACCTCCCTCGTCCAAAAATGCGATTTCAAGAATCGTTGTCCCAATTGTCTTCAAACATCACCAGCGATAAAATCTCAGTTTAAATGTTAAAAATACAGTATTCAACAAAGTCATTTTAAAGGCCCTTCTTTTAAAAAACAAGTAGATTTTATAAATCATTTTGTTTGCCTTACCAGGATTGCTATTAAAGATATTGTATGACAGTTGGTGACAGTTGGTGACAGTTATTGAAGTTTAAGTATTCTGTGTCATTTTCTCTGTTGTTCCAAACAGTAAAAAAAAACACAATAAATTGCTTTTTTTATGAGACAGGTTTAAAGGTCATTGCGTTTAAATGGTGATTTTCATTGAATGGATTGAGCCATTTCAGTATTTTTTTCATCTGAAAGTAGCTTATGAAATTGGCTTTTTAGTTCCAGTCATCATTTTTGGTGCTTCATATATTTTTTTATATGAAATATATTTTTTGGTGGTTTGGGTTCCACTTTTTTTGACTCACCCTGTATGTACATGCTACAGTACGTGTATGTATTCAAGACATTCGGTATAATTATTCTAAATTCAAGAGGAAACTAAAGGTTTGTGTTTGTCAACAAACGCAGTGTGATTGGGCCCCAGACTATTATTAGACATTGTCTAACTTCATGTTTGTGTGTACATGTACATATTAATTACACCACTTGTCTTCTGGTTCTATGATGTCACAATATTAACTTGCCCATTGTCAATAATGAATTAAAGTTGGTGTGTATGTATGCTTTTTGGGTATGGCACCTTGAAAAATAGTTGAATTGATAATTATGTAGCATTACATGAGCTTTTCAGTGAGACATCGCACGAAAAATTCTTGTATGCACACCTCTATATCGGGGTTAATGTTTATACCAATGTTGCTCATGCGTTTCATTTCAAGAAAGAAAAACCGTGGAGAATTATTGTCAAGACAAACAAATATACAACAAACATGAAAAAACGTAGACAAAACCCCATAAGGGCATACATGTGCACAACATAGGCATACATGTACATGTACATGTACTCCAGACACTACTCAGTATTTTACTTAACATGTCCATTGTGCATTTTGTGTTGAGTATTGATTACTATTAAATGGGCAATTCAAGCATTATGGAAGAAAATGTAATGTCCACGTTATAGCCAATTTGTCTCAGGTCCATCATACATGGAGGAAGGATAGACTTCCTCAATGGGTCCTAAAACCCAACCCAGCTGAACACAATCCCCCCAAAAGGAAATACATACAACTGTACATGTATCATTAATGAATTTTGAGTGAGTACCATGATGCAAAAGTGGCATAGTGTTCATTTACAGTTAAGTATACTGTAACACTTGAATCAAATATATTGAGGATTAGGGCCTGTATTGTACTATATGCCTACATGTACATGTACGGTACTTACCGGTACATGTATGTCACATACATTGTACATTGTGTACATACACAATCACACAAGCAGGCACACACACCATGATGCAATCTGTAATATGTAGTGGTTATTCATCATGTTCATGATTATCCATGCATAAACAGGCATAATAGTTCAGTGTACTTATGGGTGTCAACCTGTAGGTAGGTGATGTCTGCATTTTATATGTGGGCAGTGTCATTGTTGAGGTTTTTTTTATGACTACCGGTACCTATAGATCTGTTCCACATCAGACTGCACTTCATCAACTCAACCTGGCTTTTTTCACCTTTAACTTTCTTAAATATGTCATACATGTATTAATACATGTATTAAACATGTCGTACATGTTTTAAGCACAAGAAGGCTCTTGAGCTTAATTTTGAAAAAAAAAAAAAGTTTTTGGGAAATGTTCACACATTTCTAAAATAAAATAAAATAAAGAAATTCTCATTCCTATTTCTTTCTCTGTATCATTTTCTCCTTATTACAGTATCGACAAAGCATCCAAGGTGTCGTCTCCTGTTCTCGTCATTCATGGCACCGAGGATGAGGTCATCGACTTCTCCCATGGCCTGGCCATCTATGAGCGCTGCCCTCGCACCGTGGAACCGCTCTGGGTAGAGGGCGCCGGTCACAATGATGTGGAGCTCTACGGGCAGTACTTAGAACGCCTCAAGCAGTTCATCACTCAGGAACTACCGACCATGAATGTTAGTTAAGGTGCTGATCGGTTCTGTGTTGCACATTTACAAGTGGGCATTCCAAACAGGCTTGTTGAATGGTCTTGGTTTTAAGATGTCATTTTCTTGCAGTCTGTTGCAACAGGCAGGTGCACTGAAATTACATTTTGCATGCACTCCTACCCACATGCTGGCTTTTGCTGGTTTTGGAAGATGTACGCCATATCATGCATGTGAGGATTCCACAGAAGGGTGGACATGTACATGCACATGTACAATGTACATGTATCATCAAAGTGGCAATTAATTGTTCAAGACATCTTGAACTCAGACTAAAAGTACATCTTCTGTTTTGTGAGTCGGTACTTTTTTAGTGGTGGGAATAATATCCGGATTTATTTAAATTCGGTTTGAATTCTACTATTCGGTTTAGATTTTGAAAACAGGATAATCGAAAAATTATTAAGCCTTCCATTTTTGATGACATTGGCTAAAGAAACCAACTGGATCTCCCAATTTGCTCCATTGTCTCTGATTGTGACCGCATACACTTGCTAGGGGCCTCCTTGGTTCATGAATAGTCTGCAAGTTCGATTGGTCAGAGAGTTCCCACCCATTTTTTTTTCACCATTCAAGCTCTGGAGCGCATGGCATGCGGCATCTCACTCGTCACTTTTTTGGGCATGACTGTGAACTGAATGGAAAGTTCTGGTGCCATCGGATATTCGGTTTGAATTTTTTGAATATTTGTAAGGAATAACTCTTGAAAAAAATTATGCCTCACACTTAACTTTACAAAGGCCCGATTTGGTATCAACTTATATGGTTGAAGCACAGGCAGCTGGAAAAGTGATTCACGGTGACTCATGCTTGTGATCTACGCAAGGAGGTACATCAGAGAATTGGTACATTATGAAAAGACTGGAGCATATCTATTACATGCATCTTAAAAGCAAATGTAAAATGTACATCTCTATGCACACATGTACATGTACATTTGTACTTGTACAAATTACCTGTTATTTCCTATCCAATTTATAAAGTACTTTACACCATCATGCTTTTGGGTAGTTCATTAAGTATTCTTCATACTGCCTATGCGCCGAAATGGCAGCATCCAGCTGTATGCGCCTCAGGGAGCTGAGATTGTCTAGGGAATGTTTCAATGGTCCAATGAGCAGGGTAATCATGATGTAGCGCATTGAGCCCTAATACTGGTTTATACGTGCGCTTTTTTTCAAAACTATTTTTATTATTTTACTAGTGTACTTGGCAAATGATAAAGCAGAATGACTCTCTTTCACTTGTAAGTTTTCTCATCGTTGAAGAAAAAAAATACAAGAGCTTCAAGCCTGGCTCAAGTCATTTTTGTTTAATATCTTGTTAAACTAATTCTTTGTGTACAGTATGCAGACATATTTCGGTTATGTAAACAAACTGGAGAAACAGTTTGGCTGCTGCTGCAACTTGCTTGATAAAAGAATGCTCCCACTTGTAAATGTGTTAACATGCATTTTCAGCAATCCACCTGATAATGTCTTAAAGTAGTAAATATAAATACATGTAGTACATTGTACCTTGAAAAGATGCTATTTTTCTCAAATGTCAGAAAATGGGAAATACTTATGCATTACCTAAATATTGTGTTAATCAGGTATTATTGAGTTTAGACTTCCAAATTTGTTGGGTGCATGTATGTTTCTCTTCTTTTATGGGTGAGTAATACATGGACCAAATACATGTATAGAGCAATTGCTATAAAAGTGATTCTTACATTATTTGCATAATTTGCTGGGTTTGACAAATTTGTTTGACCTCAAGCTAAACTGTATGCTGATCGCATTACTCCCCCCTCTTTTTTTTTTTTGGAGGGGGGGGGTTGATTTCCCTGTGCTAATGTTTTTTATCCTTCATTCTAGTCCAGACTTGCTTAAGGTGGGTTAGGTTTGGTCCCCAATCAGGAGCATTCTCTAGGTTTGCCCAAAAGAAAGTACAGAGAAAATAATTATTTTCAGGCTCAGAAAATGAAGCTGTTTGTGCATGGATGAGGCATAACTGCATTTGCTGTAGCTAGCATTGTGCATTGGTAGAATTGGGATTGGCCATTGCCTAATCAATTTCACACCTCGCTGGATTGCCACAACATTAATGTGACAGATTGGTGTCAGCAAGCATTTCACACCCTCGTAATGACTGTGCAGACTGGCTTCCTGGTAGCCGTCTGTTACAAACAGTTCTCATTGCATTTGTTTCCAACTCACTTCATCGACTCAGAGTTAATGCAGTGCCATTTCCTGCAACGCATACGTCAACTGGAAATGTTTTCCTCCAACAAGATCCCTCGTGGCACGCTAGACAGTCTTGTGAAGGCTGATGTATCAGTGCAACATGTACTGAAAGAGCCAGCTCAGTTTTTCACTATATATGAGCAAGGAGCTTTTATAGTGTAACAACCATGAAGAGTTAGTTTATTCAGTTGTATGTAGCCCCCCCCCCCCCCAATTTCTTTTCTTTTTCGTCTGGGGTGGTAAACGTGAGATTGCTCCTGTAAATGGAGGAAACTTTGGGTCAAGAATTATCATTAACGCTGAGATAACTTGGAGCTAAGGCTAGGTGGAAAAGGAGTACAAAATAATGCATGCACAAGTCAAGGAACCAGACAAGATACGGGGTCAGCATACACGTACAATGACTTGTGAATTAATGTATGCGCAAGTCAAGGTACCAGACAGGATACATGTATAGGGTCATTATACATGTACACTGCTTGTTATTGGCTCATGGAAAGTGTGCATGCATTTGTTCCTGAAATCCAGCAAACAGTAGGTTCATGATTTGCACTCTGCATTTAACATGTTTTAACCCTAATGACCAAACCCTTTAAAATCCAACTGCATGTTCTTTTAGAATGTGTTGGAGCATGGGTCGGAGTGAGTATGGCATTAGTAAACTGATTATGCTTTACATGGGGTCAGGCACACATGTACCACCATAATCAGAGTTCAGCAGTTTGAGTGTTGAGTTACCATGTGGTGTTGGATTTTGCAGGAGTGGGGGTTCCTAGTAAATCACTCAAGGGGGTTAGGGTTATTGCATGCCTTTATAAGATTAAGTTGGGCTTTGCGCATACTCTGTACTTAAGTTAAAGAGTTTGTTGCATTTCTTCGCCAATTTCCCCAGAACCAATAACTCAAAATGGGACCTTTAAATAAAGTTGATAATTATATCCCCTTTAAAGCAGGGTTCATGTGATTAGATATACGAAAAATTTGTCTCTAGTAGTACCTTTAATGTAAATATTATCTGGTATGTAAATGTACAATTATTTAAGAATTGTATTCTTGATAGAACTAATTATTGCAGTCAATATAGTATGTAAAATTGTCAAGAAAGAATTCTAAAATTGGACTAAATTTTTACTTCTACAGGCATGCATCTTGTGCTTACATTGTGTACATGTATACGCATACAAAATATATCATCTCATTCTTTTGCTATTTTTTTTAGCCTATGTATGAAATATTTTGAATTGTTAGATGTAGGTTTGAAAAAACAAAATGGAAGGAAAAAAATATGTAGCCTAACGCCAGCCTTAATCCAACTAAATCCAACAGAAATCCTTCACCATTGGAATTGTAGGATTCGGGTGGGTTTGGGAGCAATCCGACCTGATTTAATACAGGTGGCGAATAGCCAGAGTTATAAACTTTATGATTTCATGCACGGTGTACCACAGAGAGCTGTTTTCACATTCTTTCTTCTGTTTTAATGGTAAATGACCTTCGACAAATGTAATTATATAGTAGTTGCCAGTATATTTTGATATCAACAAACCTGTACTTAAAGTTGATCTCAGAAGAAAAAAATTAAATGTATGTAGTTTCCACCTTTATGTAAAAAGTATATAGAAAGTTCACAATAAGTATTTAAATTTCAGACATGATTATGTAGCCCAGCTGTTTTTGTTTTTGCTGTGAGATTAAAGCTTTTAAATTTGTGAGGTTTCCTTTTCGATTTTAATTTCGATGTTGATTTTTGGTGTATTTAGAGATTGCATTGCATTAGAGACACTGGTGCATAATTGTTAACATCGGACATTCATAACAAGTTAGAGAACAGGGAGTGAACACCCTGTTTTCTGATAATATTCCGCAGGAATAGACGTTATGCTTTAAGGCGGAGTCGGAGGGCAATGATTTTCGTCTCACTTTAGTCACAAGTAAACCTTTTTGTCCATGCATTGTAACTAAAATTAGCATAACTAAGAACACCCTCTGAGAGACTGAGAGACTTGCAATGATGAGGTCTAATCTAATTGTTCGCCATTTTGTTTGTTGTTTTAAACGTTTTATTTGCCTAATACATGGACCACTTAACCTTGTCACACCATCAATCATTGAGTGGTTAAACATCCTGAAATAATCATGCTCTTGCCTTGCATCTTGTGCTGGTCCTTGTTTGGCATCTTTATTTTGTTTATGGAATCATTGAGCATGAGTTCCAAATACCAATATACCACGTCACAATGAACAACGTCACCAATGACGTCATATGCCTGTTAGTTACCGTCAGGCAGAACAACAACATATCATCATTACCTCCTTGTTTGCCATATTATACAGTTAACGTCAATACTTTTAATCCGTATCATATACAAATGTAGTGCACATTTTAACATTTTGGTTAAGTCGGTATCACATGTCCACAACTTCTCATTTTTGTTAAGAGGTATTTGGCTTGGTCTACACGACAGGAAGCCAAATTCTGACCGGCCAATGTTAAGGTTCAGTCGCCTTGTTATCAACTTCTTTTCCAAATGTTGTTTGTCTTTTTTTTCGTTTTGAGGTGTTATCTTTTTTTCAATACACCGAAATTTCGTTGATATGTTTTGTCATTTTATGCAAAATATTTAAATTAGTTTCAAGTGTGATATTTGTTGCCTATTTAAACCTGCGTGTTTCTGAGTAAAAGTAGCTTTTCGCCGTTCATAAAAAAATAAAAATAACTGTAAAGCTGGCAGCAGTGTAGAAATAAAAGTAATCTATGAGATTTGAAAGACATATAGTGAGACTTATTATTACATGTGTTATTATTTCTAGTTAACATAACTTGATCAGCCAGCGGACGACATTTTTTCGGGACTATGATTAGTCAAAAGAAAAGCAGATTAGCCACTTTGTCCGTTGTAGGTTTCCATCGCAGTTGATGATGCACCAGGAGCTAGATGGTTTGGTTTAGGAAGCGACGGGTGATGTTGCATGTTTGGAGGATGGCTGTCCGTTGGAGAAGGTGTGTCTGTACCCTAAGGTGTTCAGCCTGTTTCCTTCAGTGTGAGACCAATTGAACCGGTACCGATGATGTATGGTGGCCTTGACGTGCCACAGTTTCTCGATCTCAATCCTCAGGTCTTGGTATTTGTCTCGTTTCTCGGCAAACTTCCTTCTGTTGTTGCCGTCTGCAGGAATGCTGATTTCGATGATTCTAGCCTCACGTCATTGTATGTCAATGGCGATGATGTCAGGTTTGTTAGGCATGATGGTACGATCTGTTTGGCAGATCCCACATTGTTATAGGTTTTCCCGGCCAATTTCCGGAAATGTTCATCAAATTCTGAAAATCGGTAATTCGTTTTCGTCTAAATTTGAATGCACGTCTTTAATCCCATTTCAATTCAACAAATGTTCAATCGTTTTCATTGTCTGTGCATTCGGTTTTGAGAAACAGACGGCCTCTTACGTTACCTGCGCATTCATTTACGCAAGCATGCCTTTTCTAAATAAATTTCAGGTACAGCTAACTGTATCAGGTGCCGAATGCATTAAACCGAAAAGTGACATAGAATGGTGAATGTTTGAAATTGCCCTCTAAAAGCAAAAAAGAAGTCTTGTAATAAACAAATCTGAATGGACATAAACGAAAGGTGCTGCTCAATCACTTGAATTGAACTGAAATGGAATCGAATGCTCTGGTAGCGAAAATGATACGCGTTTTCAGAGCGATTCTCAAACAGACGAAAATGAATGACCGATTTTCAGAAGTGAATGAATATTTAGGGCCCTAAGGAAATTGGGCAGGGAAACCTGTATTATTATTGGGGGGGGGGGGGTGTTTGGTGTCTAAGTTTTAGAGGGTTTCTTACTGTATTTGAACAATTGGAAATGGTAGCATAAATTACCGTCCCGCCTAGGAAAATTCTTCTTAGTGTGTTCCCCTTCACGAATTCACAATCATGGTGCCATCAGAGGAGCCAGCGTGTAGTCCTCTTTGTACCTATCTGACTGACTGACTGACTGACGTTTAGCCTGGATTGTTAGCTGGTAAAGGACAGGTATCTGCGATTACTCCGTAATAGGCTAAATCCGGCCCAATATTGTGTACACCAGATGCACGAAACGCTTGCAGTGAATATACATGTACATGTAATTGATTCAATTGATATAATTTTGTGCTCTCTTTAGCCAGCTTTACTACGCGCGTAGCTTTACTACGAGCGTATACGCCTGCCTCATCTTGTTTTATATAATTGGCCCGGTAGGTCTGGACATTTGTTTATGCACGTGTCTAATATTATGAACCGAAATGGAGAATCAAACTCCAGACTATGGTTTTTGAAAACGGTATTTTTGAAAGCTCTGGCAGGAGCTTGTACATGTCACCTGGTGGTCGGTCGGTCTGTCTGTCTGTCCCCGAAGATTGACCAAATGATTCTCCAAAAATAATTCACTAATTGACCAAATTCTATTTGTCATTTGTGGTTGTTCATAAGATGCACTCTTAGCTGACGGTTTTCAGAACAGCGATTTTGCTTCCATCGATGCGCATTTATTTTGACCAAATGCCATGCCGTTCTCATTAAATGCACTCTTGCTGACGGTTTTCGGAGCAGCGGTTTTGTTTCGATTGATGCGCATGCGCGTTTATTTTGCATATGTCTGTTCCCGAAAATTGACCGAAATAAGCCCCATAAGTTTCCCACAAAATGTTACTAAATTTTAATGTATAAAAAAATAAAAATAAATAAATACATGTACTTGTATTTAACAAAAATTGTTTGTAATAGGCCTATAGGTTTTCCCGCACATTAAACAAATGTTGCATTGAAATTCATAAGGCCAAAAAAAAAAGTCTCCGGTTTCTGGTATGCGCGCGCGTCGCCGTAGCCATGCGCATCGGCAAAATGAAAATGTTTTTTTTTTCAATGAAAGATGATGTCTCAAAACCGCCAAACTCAATGGTTTGACTGAAATCCTGCTGGTGCACAATTTTAACGTGTTTTTAGATTGGGTTAAAATTGAGAATAAGCTTTATGTGACCTCTCTGGACTCCCATTATTTGCACTAAGTTTAGTCGGGCACCATTTGCAGTCATCAGCACACATTTGAAGCAAAAAAATCAGGTAAAAAAAAAAAAAGCCGCGTCGCCGCACCACTTTTTGGGCAAGCTCCATACCAGAAACAGGAGAATTTTTTTTTTTGGCGTAAACGGTTAACTTTAATTTCGTCCCTAGGTGACTGGAACGCGAAAATGCTACAATGAATTTAGTCATTGGTCATTCCAAATGAAGAATGGTCATCAATTTCAACATTGTCCATTTGCCGTCGTCAGATTTCAATGGAATTCGTCTCACCTGATGATCATCTACGTAGGCCTAATGCAAGGATTAAATTTGTCTTTGTTTAATCGATTTCCAGAAATTTTCTATCAAATTCATCAGACAAAATGAGCACGCTGGTATTGGCACGGTTTATTGCAAGACAAGAAATTGAAGGTTAAACAAACTGCAAATGGCAAGAAGAACTGGATTCACTGTTTCCAAAAGATGTGAAATTATGAATGCATTTTGCTTTCACATGTACATAACTATATGCCTACTTATTTCCTGCATAAAATGGAAAGTCTGCATTCATAAATTTGCCCGTGAAGGCCATTACCTTATTTCTTTCAGTTCATGACGCATACAATTGTCAAAGAACTTAATGGATACACAACTAATAAGTATTGAAAAATATTACGATTTTGCATAATAATTATCCAGGTAGTTGGAAGAAATGAACAGATGAAAACGTTAAAATACCAAAGATAGCATTCAATCATGAGATGAGTTTGAATGAAATTCATTTAACATTGATTGCAAAATGACAAAATTGCTTCATCTATCGTACATTCAGCAATTGAAGACGACGAAATTGACTTGTCTTTCACGAAAACGCATTGCTAAGGTCTGACATTGTTTGAAAAAAGTGCGAAAATGAGCGACCGAAGACGAAATTGAACATGGGATATGCAAGGTCGTGAATTTTCAAAACGAAATTGAAGTAAACCGTTATCAATCTGAATGAAAACAGTTTTAAAATGTGCGGGAAAACCTATAATTCGGGGGGGGGGAATGTTTAGAAAAAGTGTATCAAAGCAGGCAAAATGATGTGCAATAATGTTATAGTCATGTGGGTTTTAAATCGCTATCAATCTAGGTATACATCTGAAGTATGGCATTCCAGACACTCTAAAAGTCCTGGGTCAGACTTGACCCGGAAAAGGGTCATGTAGGGCCTGACCCTTTTCCAGGTCAATCATGACACCTTTTTTGGTCACAATTACAATGTGTGACTCATTTTCCGGGTCATTTTGACCCAAAAAAATGTCCATGTTGACCCAGAAAGGTGCCATTTTTTGACCCGGCCGGACTGTTTAGAGTGTATATTGTGCCATCGGCGTCGCGTTTTTTGGGGTGTCGCGTTTTTAAGCTCTGGAAGGGATAGATTTCATACAAGACTTTTATGCAAGACGGCCAGAGCTTATTGTGCACTTGCACTTGATTTAACATATTGTGCAGATGCCGTCACAGGACGAGCGAACAATGAGTTTGCTTCATAACACATGATCCAAACAGATTCACAATAAGGCAGCTCAGTGATCACTAAATGATCAGAGAAACGGATAATATATTGTCTTTAACATGGCCATTATTTTGAAAAAAAAATCAAATTATTGAGGCCTTGAAACACATTTACCATGATGACAATACGATCTTCAGTAATACTGGACATGACACATTCTTTATAATGGATCACGTGCATCCGCTGTAAGCAATTTCAATAATAGGTAATGCATTTGTATTTGTGTTTCAAAGTTTCTTGTGACTGAGTTCCTGTACGCGTTCAACCTTCTGTTTTCACCATTATAATATTATATTGCCGGTTTATATATATTGCGCTGTATGCTCCAACCAATAGAGCGAAACTAAACGAAAATTAATGACTTGGTAGGAATTGCATGTGTATTGAGTTCGAATATACTAAAAGGGACATTCATAAATACCTATATTCAGTTTACCCATTCCTATTGGTCGAGAGCCCGTCACGTGGCCGGTCTTAAAACGGATGATAAAGACATGGCTAGCTGGTCTACAACACTTTTTCAGTGTCACATGAAATTTGGACTCCCAAAAATCCGGTTCCTCAATCCTCACGTAGGCATGCGCAACACTACCAGTGAGTCAGTATTTGTAAGAGTGCCGTGCGCCACCACAAGAGGGCGCCCTTTTACCTAGCAACGACGTCCCATGGACGGGACATTTCGCTGGTTGACGCGCACCGTTCCTTGTTTGTGACGAACGTACACCAGGGAATTTGTACTTTTGTACACGCAGTGGCCGCGCTTCGCGGCAAGTGAATTGCAGTTAGGCACCTCGCAACTTGTGGGTCTACATGTACAAGTCTATGTTCCATGACGGAAATATTGTTAAAAATAATTCAATACTTTCTATCTCCCATTTTTTTAAAATCAGGTTTACAAGTCTTGGTAGAGGTTAAGTCATATTTTTTTTCAAGGAAACAAGAGGCCTAATGTAAAATATAAATTGCATCTTTAAATATCCGTTAGTAGTCATAGCTGAAACCAAGGATTGACAGTGGAGTACAGGATCCGAGTTCCTATAACAGATGAAACATCCAACATCGAAGCCCTGAAGGCCTGACATGATAGCATGTACAATCTTTTGCCATGAGTTCAGAACTGGATTTTAGCTTCGCGGTTTTTTTAGCAGCGGGGTTTATTATCC